CCAAGGAAACATGCCAAAGACGATCCTGATTAAGCTATGTAAACCACTTCTAGAAGCCCCCCCACCGGCCTACACCCCAGAAGCCCCAAGCCCTAAGCCTGGGGACGATACACAAAGACATGGGGTTTGGAGTTTTGGGCTTAGGGTTTGGGATTTCGGGTTAAGGGCTCAAGGTTCAGGGAGGCCTAGTTGAGAGCAACCCTCACGCGCAACAGTGTAGATGTCGGGCTGTGTCCGGCTTCCAGAGCCAATCGGCTCGGTGCTCTCAACCCCCCGCACCCTCCACGGGTGGGTGGGAGGTGTGGAGTGGGGCTCTGAGAGTAAGTACATATTGTTTGAGTCATCGAGGTCTCCCTCGGACGACGAAGAATGCAATCATTTTCCAGCGAATCTGCCTCTGCGACTGCGCAGAGAGAGAAGCAGGCGGCAAGGAGCACAGTCTTTCGTCACCTGCGAGGGTTGTTCTAGGCTCGGGCTATTCTAATCTATGGGGGGGCGTCAGGGTTTAGAGTTCAGGGTTTCGAGACTTTAATGAGCAGGCACGTGTTGTACATACACTGAGAGTCCCCTCCTAGGGCCCCGTTCCGTCTCACCCCTGACCCGCATCCTGCACAGACTTCGAGACAACCCTAAACCCTAAACCCTAAACCACGAGGTCCATTGCATGTTTAAGGCTCAGATTCCTCAGATCGCGCGACGCTCCGCCCTTGTGGCGCTTCGTGGCATCTGGATCTGCAAGATGGAAACGAGAGCTCGGATGGGAGTCAGCTCAGGATGCCAGTGTCACCTTTGCACAGGCCCCTGAAACGAAGAGTCCGAAACAACTCCTCAGGGTTTAGGGTTTAGGGTTTAGGGTCTAGGGGGTTTAGGGTTTAGGGTTTAGGGTTTAGGGTTTAGGGTTTAGGGTTTAGGGAAGTCCAAAGCCCCAAACCCTGGCTCCTAGCCTTGCAACCTTGACCTCCCGGGTTTGGGGGCCCCACTTACCTATGCGAGGCTCGGGTTTCGGGCTTAGGGTTTAGGGTTTAGGTTGTAGGGTTTAGGGTTTAGGGTTTAGGGTTTAGGGTTTAGGGCTTAAAGTTGTTTGTTGTTTCAAGCTTTTGCCGCCCAAGTGGGGGATCAACACCCAACGCGTTTCGAGTTTGTTACAGTTGCAGGCACCGAAAATCCCTAAACCCTAAACCCTAAACCCTAAACCCTGAACCCTGAACCCTGAACCCTCCTAAACCCAAGCAAGCTTTGAACCCCCCTAACAAAGGCTACAAGCCAAAGTTCCATAAGGCCCCCCTAAAACTCTAAACCCGAAACCCTCCTGAAGCCTAAAACCCAGCCTGTCTGCACGAATACTTGGAGGCTCATTGTACTTACTAACCAATTATAACTGCACTGATAACTGTACTTATAACCATATAAGGGCACTTAAGGGCCTCATGAGTGGGTTATAAGTTCAGTTATCCTAAACCATAAACCCTAAACCAAACCCTAAACCCTAAACCCTAAACCCTAAACCCTAAACCCTAAACCCTAAACCCTACTACAGTTATATTTGGTTAACATGTACCATGAACCTCCAAGTAGAAGCATCTCCCCAAGGTTGCAGCTGATGATAGGAACGCCCGCATCCCGCGAGGCGTGAGACTTCAGGGGACTTGTGGGTCTCTTTTGGGGTTTGGGGGTTTAGGGTTTATTAGGGTTTAGGGTTTAGGGTTTACGGTTTACGGTTTACGGTTTAGGGTTTACGATTTCGGGTTTAGGGTCTATTTTGGGGTTTCAAGGGATTAAGACTCGCACCCCTAAGAAGGTTCCCCTTAATGTAGTCGTTTGAGGGTAAACTTCAAACCCGTTTGGGGTTGGGGGCTTAAGTTTTGGGGTTCTGGGGGCATGTGCGGCAGCCCCAATGTTAAAGGTTGTGGGCTTTCGGTGGATTATAGCAACCCGATTAAGGGTATAGGGTTTAGGTCTTCTTATTTTGGTCCTTTACTTGCTCTAATGGGTTCTGAAGTAAAGGCCCTTGCAGAGGGTATATGAGGGGTATATATGCCCCGAAAAAGGGCCTAAACCCTAAACCCGAAACCCCTCACAGAACTGGTTGGTTCTTGGTGGGGAATGAGGGAATGAGGGCCCTTTTACTCTTTAAGGGATCATATACGGCCCTCATTCCCTCATTCCCCTAAGAACCAGGGGGAGAAGTTTGGGGGGGCGGGGGGGTAACCCACCTTTGACGGTTTGGGGCGGCTTCGGGTTAACTTTAGGGTGTTAGGGGGATCAGGGTTTTTGAGGGTTTGTGGGGCTCAGGGTTTACGGTTTAGAGTATAGGGTATAGGGCTTCGGGTTTCGGGGATTTTGGGTTTACGGGGGTTCAGGGTTTCTAGGGTTCATGAGGCTCAGGGTTTAGGGGTTCAAGGGGTTCAAGGGGTTCAAGGGGTTCAAGGGGTTCAAGGGGTTCAAGGGGTTCAAGGGGTTCAAGGGGTTTAGGGGTTTAGGGGTTTTAAGGGGGTTTTAGGGGTTTCAAGGGGGTTTTGAGGGGGTTTTAAGGGGGTTTTAAGGGGGTTTTAAGGGGTTTTTAGGGGTTTTAGGGTTGAGGGGTTAAGGGGTTTTAGGGTTGAGGTAGCAAGCCCAGTTTTTGCACATGCCATGCAGCAGGTGCGAGGTCCGAGCGCGGATCGGTGAGGGAGAAACCCACTAAAGTCCTACTATTTGCTTAAGAATCCCACAAAAAAAAGATAAGAATCCCTGTGTTACCCCCCAACAAAACACAAGATAAGAACCCCTCTATTACCCATATAAGGAAGAATCTGTTTGTGTGCCGGGGGGGGGGGGGGGGGGGGGGGCTTCTAAGCAATTAGCAGCGCCTCAACCCCGAAGTGGTCCAAGATGGCCTTTTTTGGTACTCTGAAGGACTTATACTTACAACCTGGATGCCAAATGCAAGGGTTTAGGGTTTAGGGTTTTAGGGTTTTAGGGTTTAGGGTTTAGGGTTTAGGGTTTAGGGTTCACCCTAAGGGTCCATGGACCTCATGATTCTATACTTGGGGCCCAGAATATGAAGTACTTTAGGGCCCAAGTACTTGGAGGCTCATCGTACTTATTGACCAACTATAACTGTACTTAGAACCGACATATAAGCCCCTTAAGTGCCCTAATATGGTTATAAGTACAGCTATAAGTACACTTATAGTTGGTTACTAAGTACCATGAACCTCCAAGTATTCCCTAACTAGATACACGGGACATGGACCCTAATAGGGCAAGCCCTGCGGATCCAGGTAGGGTTTAGGGTTTAGGGTTTAGGGTTTAGGGTTTAGGGTTTAGGGTTTAGGGTTTAGGGTTTAGGGTTTAGGGTTTAGGGTGTAGGGTTTAGGGTTTAGGGTTTAGGGTTTAGGGTTTAGGGTTTAGGGTTAGGTTTGGGGTTTAGGGTTTAGGGACCTGTAAAACATATAAGCCACTACAGAGGAACCCCTTTAAGGCCCAAGTGTACACTACTTAGTAGCTGAATGAGAACACTTGACACTTTTTTGGACACGATACTCCGTATAGAACTGAAAGTACACACTTTGGGGGGGCGGGCTTATGAACTCAGCAACGAAGACTAGATAGGTACACGGATCCTTACGGAAGCAAGCACGCGAGGACATGGAGACGCGACGATGGCACGGGTTTACGGGTTTACGGCTTAAGGGTCATGTTCTCCAAGCTTTAGGGTCTTGGGAATCGAGAACTTAGTGCGCAGTCGCGTTTAGATAGGGTTTAGGGTTTAGGGTTTAGGGTTTAGGGTTTAGGGTTTAGGGTTTAGGGTTTAAGGTTTGCCAGCGTAAAGGGTCGATGCCCTGAATCCCATCAAGAACGCATCTGCGGCGCAGGTCCTGTTGCAGCTCGAAAAGGATGACCCATGGCCGACTGCGGGATACAGGCAAGGCTTATCTTAGGGCTTTAGGTTTTAGGGTTTAGGGTTTTAGGGCTATACCTGTACCTTGTTGCGTAGTTCCTTTTTTTGGTTTCACTTCTGTGACTAGAAAGAATTGGTTTAACCAATTAATGCAACTGGCCCATGTACGCAGGATGTATGACAATGGGTATACAGGGTTCCCCAAGTCCCAGAACTCAGAACCCAAGGTCTATACCCGGGGTCCGAAGCCACGAAGGTCCACAGTACGTACACACCCTGCAACGAAGCTTATGGATTCAGGGGTTCCGGGCTGCATTGCATGTGCAGCTGTCATCTTCAAACCTGTAGTATCACAAGCTTCCCTTTTCATCGGCCACGCTCGACGTCATGGTTGCGAAGATCTGGTGCTGCAGCTGACACTCGGAAGGGAAGTGTTTTAAGTATGTGGGCTATCGGCTGTCCACAATCGGTCCCATACGAGGCTTATATACAAGGTAAGTATAGGGCCAATATGGGGCGAACCCTTCACGAGAGGATCTCTGCTCCGTTGCCCCACTCAGTCTTCAGCTCTACAAGATAGACTTGGAGGCGCCTTAAGGCTGCTGTGCGGGAGTTTAGGTACCGCATTGGCCTTGAAATTTTGCCTACAAAGTCCTCCCCCTCGGGGGTTGCGAAAAGCGCCGGATTCAAGATTTCGGCGGTAGTGGGATCAGAGAGATGTTTCTCAAGAAGCTTTGCCAGATGCACCAAATAGTGCAATTTCGGGATGAGCACAAACAGACAGTGAGATTCCAGGAAGCTCCATGTTGCAAGCATCAAGTAGCCCCTGATGAAATTCCAAAGGTGAGTTTTGGCCCGTTCAGCCATCTCACGCTGTAGCCATCTCCGGTCGGGAGCAGTCCAGCCTTTGTTTGAAAATAAGAAGACACACACACACACACACACACACAGATAGACCCTGTACCCTAAACCCTCAACCATGAACCCTATAAACCCTTATATATAACCTAAACCCTAAACCCTTATAAACCCTATACACCCTAAAGCCCTATAAGCTTCTGTACAAGAGCCTCTCAATTTTAAAGCGAAAAATCCTTTGCTATAAAGGGTCCATGCTTCAGAGTCGAAAAAAGTCGTTGTAGTCGCAGCATGCTCGGAAGAGGCACTTGAGCACGCCACGTCCATCGAACTGCCAAGGCTTGTCCAAGAACTCTTGTAGCCAATCCATGATGAGTTTTCCATCTGAAGCCTTGAAGCTACAGTCGGGATAGGACCTCGATGACCCCCTCCCAATGTTCGACAGCGTGAATTCTTTCACGAGTGGGGTCTCATGAACCTGCGCACAGTAGGACCGGAAATTGCCGTACGCTGCACGAAGTCGGCTTGCCAAATCACGTCCCTCAAAAAAACCCCAGTCACATAACAATACCAGCGCTGAACAATAAAACCGCCTTGCAATGCCCAAAGGTCCCAAATGGAAAATGTCATGGCGGTACATATTCATGCGATTGAAGCCAGGCACACCCAGGAGCAAAGGCAAGGTTCCATGATCCCACGGTTGGTGACCCTGCCCCTCATCAGAAACGTTGTTGAGGTCAGCAATGTCATCTTTGGTGATCTTACAATATGGACAACAGAGGTCGCACTCGAAATGTCGAGTTTGTCTCCAGACTTTCGCCTGCCACGGAAGATCACCGGCTGTGCCAATAAACGCGAAGAACAGTCTGCCAGAAGCATCTCCAGGAATTGCGATGCCTCTCAACACTCGAATCCGAAACGTATTTAGTCACAAAATCCCAAGACTGTTGAAAAACCTAAAACACTAGATGAGCCTTTGCGTGATAAGAGTTTTTCCACCACGGCAAGCAGCCTTGATGATACAGTTTCTGAGCCTCGGAGACAAAGTTGCCCACCATGGCATCGAGACAAGCATTTCCCATTGATGTGCCACCCTTGTAACCGGAATATACTTCATGCGGTGCGACAGTGTATAGGTAGGACCTCCACCATGAGGAAGTATGGCAGAAGAGGACCGGCTTCCATGCTAGAATCCACACTGGATGCTTACGCACGCCAGTGCCTTCGTCTCCGTAGAGAACGAGAGGCACCACATGGGACAGAGACGTGAAATCCTCGAAGACCACATGGGAAGGATCCATTCTTCTGTAGCGGGACCAGAACTGCGAAAGAAGTAGCTGGCTCTCTACACTGCCAACCTTGTAGCCGCCTAGGAGTTTCTCCGAATGGTTTGGTAGCATGAAGCGAATGAAGTCTTCCAAAGAGATGATGGGATGGTCAACAGGGCCACGTCCGAAATATGGCACCTGAATTCGGGTAATAGGTACAGACAGACAACGCCCCAGACGCTGTAAGTTTCGAATTATGGCCTCAAACTCATTGCCACTTCCAGCCGCCTGTCCAAGCAGCTTGCAATCCCAAGTTTCTTGCTCCATGTCCCCAGCTTTTCGTTTCTTGCCAGCCGTCTTTGCCAATTGGCTCGCACGTCGAGCGTTGCCAGCCTCGTAAACCCTATAAACCCTATAAAACCTATAAACCTCATAAACCCTCAACCCTAAACCCTAAACCCTAAACCCGATAAACCCTAAACCATGCACTGGCTCAAAGATCTTGTGAAGGGTATATTTGGGGTGTGGGATTTCAGAATTAGCAGATCCAAGGAGCGAGGAACACCTCCACGACCTCATCGACCATGTCTCTGGAGCCTGGCACGCAGCGCATAGGGTTTATAGAGGGAGCCTGTTTAGGGTCTACGGGCTCATACAGCGTGTTTGGGGCTTATTTCGGGTTTACAAGTTATAGATAGGGGCAAAAAGGGTTTTTTTCGGACATATACCTGTGTAGGGTTTTTGGGTTTAGGCTTTGTAGGGTATCTTCCTTAAACTCCAACAAGTTGGAACATCCTTATCCCCATACCCTATAGAGGGCATACTATACAGGGACTCCCAGTTATATTGTAGAAGCCATGTTCCAACAAGTAGGAGTTTACTGTATCATAGAGGTTTACAAACAAGCGCTGCATCCCCCCCAGGCATTTTCTTTGGACCCACGCTCTTCTGATGCTTCCTCCCTTTGCATGAGTATATGGCTAGATGTTCATCGCCGTGGTCAGTACCACAACGACAAGGCCAAGATTCGGCCAAGATGAGTCAACAGGCATGGGGCCCACGAAGACCTATAGAGGCCCATATGTTTAAAGCTGTGATATTTGTTCTCACCCTCGTGTAGGAGGCCATGGTCCCCTCTGTGCACCAGTACATGAAACGGCGCACCAGTCAAAATGGCGCAGCTCACTGCGGTAGCTCTTCCTTTCCAGGAGCAGCCTTTCGCTTGGCTGCTGTTCTCTTCTTGAAGAATGTCCTGATTGAGTTTCAGAAGCCCAAGGATCCCGACAACACTGCCGACAACAAGTACTCCATGTGATCCGCACCCACGACTTATTGCAGAAAGTGGCTTGACAGAAGCAAGCTGATTGTCGAACATGGCGCACCTAAGTGCATCACATGTACACATGCTTTCTACAAATCGGCACATAGCACCCACAGACGCACCTATAGCAGACGTAGATGCTTGCGAGACACTTCTCTTCCATGTCCACACAGAGCTGCGTGTAAGCCCCGAGCCTTAGATATAAACCCCCCCTAGGTATCCCCTCCCCCCCCCACCCCTTGGTCCACGGTCTCCCCTAAACCAACCCTAAACCCTAAACCCCTAACCTAAACCCCACACCCTAAACCCTAAACCTAGAAACCCCAAGTCCCTATAAACCCTAGAAACCCTAAACCTTTTCAGCCCTAAACCCTAAACCCTAAACCCTAAACCCTAAACCCTAAACTCTAAACCCTAAACCCTAAACCCTAAACCCTAAACCCTAAACCCTCAAGGCCAGGATCAATAGAAATTGTAGGTGTTTCATTACGAGCAGCTCGTGCAATAATCCTTCACCCTTCACAATCCTCTTTACAATGCAAATCCCCCCCCCGCATGCCCTCGAACCCCAGCCCCAGCCAGTCCACCCCGCCCCCAGCCCCTCCAGCCCCCCAGCCCCTCCAGCCCTTCCCGCCCTTCCAGCCCCTTCAAGGCTCTGCAGCCCCTCCAATCCAAGGCCCTGCAGCCCTGCAGCCCCCTGCAGCCCCCTCCAGCCCCTCCAGCCCCTCCAGCCCTTCCAGCTCTTCCAGCCCCTCCAAGGCCCTGCAGCCCTGCAGCCCCCTGCAGCCCCCTCCAGCCCCTCCAGCCCCTCCAGCCTCTCCAGCCCCTCCAGCCCTTCAGCCCCTCCAGCCAGCCCCTCCACCCCCTCCAGCTCCTCCAGCTCCTCCAACCCCTCCAAGCCCTCCAGCCCCTGCAGACAAGTTTTAAACCCTGAACCTTGAATCCTAAACCCTTAAACCCTAAACCTTAACCCCCAGGCCCTAAACCCTAAACCCACCCTAAACCCTAAACCTTAAAAAAAAGTCACAGAAGGGGGGTTGGGGGTGGGTTCAAAACACTAGTGTTTTAGTGCGTTTGGGGGGGGGGGGAAGGGTGGGGAGCAAACGCAAGCATTCCAAGACCCTTGCGCCCACCACTCATGAATCCGACATGTACACCCAAAACCTGGACAGTAAGTTTTTTATGCATCCAAAAGCTCTCTAGAGACACAGCGTGTGGACACAATGCCGGCAAAGCGGCTCCTTCTTCTGGGGGCCCGTCTCCACTTTGCAAATCTTCGTGTAGATCTCGTTGACCAAGTCTGGCGAGCAAAATTTAATGTTTGGAGGGGGAGGTGGGGCTGCGATTTCCTGGGTATATAGACCACGGAAACGGTACACAGGCTTCAGGTTTTGCAGGGATTGTACAGGTTCTACAGGGTGGCTTGCGGAGCCGGCCTGCAGCGGATGTGAGCTTCGCCAAGTCATCCCTGGGGCGAGGGTTTAGGGTTTATAGGGCAAGTATACTTCAGATGGTTCCCGCGTTCAGAGAGCCTCTACTTCAGGTGGTTTTCGAGGTGAATTCACCCACTATAACCCTATATAACCTGCCAAGCCCCATCCTACAAACCCTGTAAACAGGCCTTAAAATCCCACGCGTAACACTCCAGTCACTCCAGGAAGCATATGTGTGATGCTGCGGCTGGGAGCATGACTCGGAGCACTTGGCAGCACTATACTTCGAGGTTTTTGCACAACGGGTGGGTCTATAGGATTCTCTTATGGTTTGGCTTTTTAGGGTTTAGGGTTTAGGGTTTAGGGTTTAGGGTTTAGGGTTTAGGGTTTAGGTTTAGGCTTCCATCGAAAGATTTGTAGGCTTTGAAGGGCAGAGAGCAGCAAAGAAGAAGCAGAGTCCGAGAGCAGGAGACGGGGATACACACGCACGGCGTACACACTAGAATAGCCGGGCCACTCGTAACCGGTGGCAGCATCTTCCTTGAGTCGGTCCTTAGTCGATTGGATCGTGCCCTTCCTCTTGAGGGCTGCGTCCTTGAACTTCTTGATGCATTCTCGTAGTCGCTCCTCTTCGAGGATTGGGAACTCGGCAAGCTTCGCGGCTTTCGGTTTCTCCTTTTCTTCCCCTGCAGGCTCCAGGCCCAGCGCCAGGCTCATATCCAAGTTGAAGCTTCCCCAGCCGGAGGGGTCAGCGTCGAGATTCGAGGCTTGCAATTCTTCTTCGAGGCGCAAACGCTGTAGCACGCTGTCATCCACTTCGTCCTTGATTTCTACCAGGAACTTGAGGTCAGATGTGTATTTGCACCTCCTCGGATTTCAGCTCACTGTCATGCACTCATCACTCATCTCTTTGCACACAAGCGTGTTTCTTGCACACAAACGCGATCAAGAGTCTTGACCAAGTTCCTGGCCTTGCAAAAGGCCACAGCTCCGCGGATTTTTTCCCTGGCAGTGCCGGAAACAAGACGAAAGGGTTAACTATAGAGAGCAGCACACATGTCATATCATCTTGCAATCAAAGAACTCCCGCCATGGCGGGCTCAAAGCCCGCATTTCGTCTTCTGTCAACCATGCTCTCACCACATTTTCCTTGTGTTCTTTTTCCTTTTCCCGTCGGTACGTCATTAACGACTCCAATCTGGCCTCTGTTGAAGCACAGGAGAAAAAGGGTCAAAAACATGTTCTCTGCATAAAGCCAAGCCATATGCCAGGTTACCAAGTTGCCTTATTGCCTTCGAAATCATTCGCTCGGTAGCACTTGGTGACGAAGTCACGAAGTAGTTCCTCTTTCTCTTTCCCACCTTAGAAGTCTGAAAGTTTACGTTGTGAACCAGACATGTCTGTGTACAAAGTCCCTCCCCTAAAAAACGTCGAGGCGCCATTGTGCCACTTGTCGAAAATCTCTTTGGAGCATTTCGGGTCTCCATTCTTATTCGGTGTGGTCAGCCGGTACAGGCAGTTCCAGGCCAACTTGTGTGTACACGAGTTGACCTTCACGACCGCCAGTCGGTCATACTCGGCTGCTATCTTAGCAACACCTGCGGGCGACATGTCGGGCGGCCCGTCCAGGGCCGGAGGCACACTTGCCTGTGCGAGCAAAAAACATATCTCGACACACGAAACACACAGAGAAATTGACAAAGAGACTTTCTGAATATATACATACAAATTAAATAAATAAATACATAAATACAGATATATATATATATATATATTTTTTTGTTTTTTGTATTATGGAATTATATATATATATACACCCACATATATATATATATATGTATATATATATATATATCAGGTATCAGGGTTTAAGCGTTTTAGATGTTTATATATTCCATTGGTGTTGCATTGGGCTATATTCAGTTTATAGGTGTATTATATTCGCTGTTTTGGCTATTCGGGCACAGAGTCGTGAAAAAGGTGTTGTGCATATATATATATATATATAATGCATACTTATGTGTCTGTAACTATATGTGTATGTGTGTGTGTCTGTCTGTCCATGTATGTATGTATGTATGCACAAAGACTACATAAATATATAAATACAAATAAAAGTATATTTATATCCATATATATATATATCTATCTATCTATCTATCTATCTATCTATCTATGTGTAAATAAAGCATATATACATCGGGCAAGGGCTTAGGCATTTTTAGGGGTTTAGAAGAGTTATTGGTCTATTTTTTTAGGGGTGGGGGGGTATATATATACATATGTATAGAAAGATACATGTATTTATCTTTATTTATCTGAAGGGTCTGTACATATATACATATATACATATATACATGTATATTTCTATATATTGTTCATATTTAAAATTCTTTTAGGGCTTGCAATGGTTTAGGGTTTAGGGTTGGCGCCTGCGGCCCAGCATCTTCCGCCAGCAACTGTAGCTGCTCCCTGCGAAACTCATTCTCGCCCACGGGCACTTCAGTGGCCCCGGCAGAACTAGCCGTGGATTGGCTGCTCATTTGCCTCCGAAGCCCCACCTTCTCTGCTTC